AAGGATTTTGTAACACCATAATACATTACAATATCATTTACACAATATTCTATGAATGGATACTATTCAAATGTGTTTCAACCCCAAAACTTTGTAAAACCCCTTAATTCCAATTAACTAAAATCTAAAACATAAATGACAAAGAGATTAATGTTTGTCAAGTCTAATAGTCCAGCATCTATAGGGAGGGAGTTGAGTATGTACTGAAAATGTAAAGCTTTTGATTGTTGTTGGGGGCATCTTGGAGATGACAAAACACGGGGCGGAATTCATGAACGTTCCTTAACCTATTCCTTGTTCCTTATTCCTTACCTTTCTCCTTACTGGTATTCAGGAACGTTCCTACTTCCGTTCCTTATTCAAGGCCTCCTTGATTGAAGGAATTCCTTAAGTATTGTTGCTTGTTCAAATTCACAAACGCTCCTAACTCCTTTAACGAATAAATTTTCCTTAATTGATGATTCCTTACTCCTTAGAATAATAAGGAAGGTATGAACGTCCCTATAACCTTACAAAGCTGTGATTTGTAGGTTATGTTTGTTTATTTTGATTAAACAGCATTGACACTTTTCCCGTTGACCCGGCGTATTTTGAGTAGATCAGTTAGTTAAATTATTTGTTGATACTTGTGTTTTTTTATTTATTTATTTATTATACAAATTATTTATATTCTTTATACACACGTCGATTCTACAATGGATGAAAATATTTTAGAAGATGATTTTATTGAATTCATGGACCACATTGACGATGACCTTTTTGAAAATCGGGCACATAGGCCAAACGATCACATCCCTACGAATCCTTTTGAAGTGTATGATGACAATGAATTTATAAATAGGTTTAGATTTACAAAACAGGTCGTTAGGGAGAAAATTATTCCCCTAATTTATGTAAATAGGCAGAACGCTACAAACAGGGGATTGCCTATTTCTCCAGAAATAAAAGTCGCCACTGCATTAAGATTTTATGCCACTGGTAGCTATCAGGTAAGCCATTATAAGTTTATTAGCCTACATTTTAACAATTTTATCATAACTAGGCTTGAATGTTAAATTTGAGGTAAATGAGTTTATGCTAGGTTTACTAATTTAAGTTTTAATTCACTGGTTTTTAATAGGCCTAATAGTTTTGGAATTATATAGTTATCTAAAGAAATTTCTCTAGTTACTTAGACTAACTTAAGGGGATCCAGGCTTCAGAAAGTGAAAAAATGGCCAAAATTCACTTCTTTTTTATAGTATTTTATTGTTATTTGGTTATTTATGTACAAGAAAATATAAGTTTTATAGGTATCCTACACGTTTTTCATAACAAAAATATATTTTCCCCAGATACTACATGAGCGCGTCTTAGTTTTTTCTAGGACTTCGATCGTGATTCCCCGAAAGTTGTGGTTTTTAGTGTTTTGTAACAGAAAAGTTGATATATCTCAGCTAATTTTTGTCCTATCATGTTGAAATTTTTACCAGATGTTCTTGATAGTATTTACAAACTTTTTGGGTATAATTATTAATATAAGTCAAATAGTTAAAAAAATATAATTTTTTATATTTGAAATATAGTCTAAGAAATTTTTTTTTGTTTTTCAACCTTTATAAAATAAAAACTAATCATCCTACAAACAAAGTAATACCCAGGATTTCAGTAAGTGTACATAGCTACAAAAAGACACCTAGTTAAACAAAATTGATCAACTATTTTATGAGTTATATCAAAAATAAAAATGTGTTACGTAATGATACATAAAAATACATAAAATGGTACTGTGGTACATAGAGTGGCTACAACAAATAAAATTACAGTTTTTAGGCCCATTCGATATAATAAATATCTTTAAAAAATGATAAACATAAAAAATAAAAAAAATGTATGTTCTGAAGCCTGGATCCCCTTAAAGCATCCTAGCCCTACCTATTTACCGGTACCATATGTAATGCTCTCAAAGGTCTATTAGGTCTACATTTATGCATTTTAATATTATTATAGCCTATATTAAGCTAATCGTGTCATTTAAATGCATGACAATAAAATGTGAGCTACACAAATTAACTAATGATACTAAATCTATGTTAGACTATTCAATACATTCAGTATGCTAAGTCACGTCAATATTGACGTTAAAAATGATAAAATATCTTTTTTTAAATGGCAAAAACAAAATAGTCCATGCATAGGTAGGAATTCATGTTGAAGAATACCATTCTCATTGTGTAACATGCTACAAGTATTATGTAGGCTAGCATACATGTTACTTGAATTCTATTATAGCAGATAGGCGTGTATATATCAATGCTTTCTTTAACTCATGCCTATATTTTATGTAACCAACAGCCAGCCACAACCTGGAATTTTTGCCATTTTTTCATAGCGTGAAAAAGGACATTTAGCATATAGCCTTCTTAAGCGTAAAAATAAATATATCAAAGTAATGTAACTTATGTAGTAACATAAGTTATTAATATGATAAAATATTTCACACCTTTAAAGATTGTCATATGTAAACATTTTTCCAGACTGTTTGCGGAGATCTTGTTAACATAAGCCAGCCAACTGTTAGTAGAATAGTTCAAGAGGTGTCAGAACTTTTGGCTAGAAATATCCCCAGACTGGTGCATTTCCCAAGAAATGAGGCTCAGAAAAATCTGGTCAAAGCTGATTTTTTAGGAATAGCTGGATTTCCAAATGTACTGGGTTGTGTTGATGGAACTCAGATTCCAATTATAAGTCCAGGTGGCCAGAATGCAGAGGTATATAGAAATAGAAAAGGATTCATGTCCATCAATGTGCAACTCGTCGCTGGCCCGCAGCTGCAGATCTTTGATGCAGTGATTCGCTGGCCTGGGTCAACACATGACTCGAGGATATTCAGCAACAGCAGCCTTAGGTATAGCATTTTAATTACCGGTATTCACAATATTAATAGCATTTTTTTTTACAGTTACCAACAAACTGTCAGATAAGATTAATAGTTTTTACTTTTTATGCGTTATGTAAGTCATAAGTAAGTATTTAAAATAAGTAACCCGCTTCTAAATCAAAGCTTAAGTAGAAAGTTTTGTAGTATCTCAGTAAGAGTACCTATCTCAAAAGTAAGAGATTCCGACATATTGTACAACTCCTACCTCTCCTATAATTTTGTGAATCCTTTTCCTCCCTGTTTTAACAATAGATCAATTAGTGGTTGTAGGCATAATACCCCCTTAACCGCTATATACAAAAATAATAATATGGAGGATATTTATGAATATTTGTTAGTAATCTGGAAACGATTATTTTGTATTAATCTGCAGGTTTCTTCGTGCCCTTTTGATTCAATTAAGCTAATAAAACAGAAGAAATCACAGACTGTCAGTTTTGTTTAGTTATATTTGTATTGTACTGAAATTTACACACTAATCTAGAAAATTAATATCCTGCTTCTTCATTTAGGTGGCGTTTTGAAAATCCCCGGGGCGACCTGAAGAACTCCTTTCTTCTAGGGGACAGTGGTTATGCCCAAACAAAATACATGTACACTCCTGTTTTGGACCCTCAAACTGCTGCTGAACAAAGATACAACAGGTCAATAGATCCACAATTTTACTTTTTAATGTCAAGTACTTTTTACACTCATTATTGATGATTGTAAAGTAAAAATATGCCACTTAGAACATACTTGTTGTCTGGAGGCCACTATATTAAAAACTTTTACTATAATAAACCAAACTACTAAACATGATGAAATATTATACTTTTTACTACCAAATCTACTGATGTGAAAGTAGTTATGTTGGATTAAACTAGTAGATAAAATGTGTGGCTTTTGCTAAACTGGTAAGTACCAAGATTGTTGTATATAATGCTAGCTTTAAGTTATCTTTTTTTGTTAATCCTACATTGTAATTATCTAAAGAATAAATTGATTTGATTTCAGGGCTCAAATTTCTACTAGAAATACAGTAGAAAGAACCATTGGGGTACTTAAGAGGCGCTTTCCATGTATGTTATACGAGTTGAGGAACAAGCTTGAGACAACAACAAGAATCATAGCTGCCTGCATTGTGCTCCACAACATTGGGAGGCAGTGGGACCCAAGGGATTTTGGGAACGAAGATGTACAACTGATTCCCAACAACTGGCAAAATTTTGTTGTTGATGTCGAAGAAAGAGTTCGGGATAATGAGAGAGGCCGTTTAATTAAAGAGCTGTTCATCCACCGCCATTTCTCAAACAGGCGCAATGAGGAGTAATAGACATTGACTCCAGAACAGTCCTTTTTGTCAACATTTTGTAAAATACATGATTTTGTTATCATCCTTTAATTAATATACTATTTATTACCTTATATGTTTATCTGTATTTCCTCGGTAAACAATTTAATTGAAATTATCAATTATCTGGTGATCAATCACCATATATGATTGCCATATCAGTTATTGTAAGTAAATGATCAAACTAAACCCTTAAAGGAAAAGTTGTAAAGCTGTAAAAGTGGTCATTTTATAAAAAAATGTCTTTTGTATAGTAATCTCTTTCGTTTGATTCTTCCAGGTTTAAAGTTGTCCATAATGGTTCAAAGTTTACCATATCCTTGAATTATAATAATATTATAATATAGAATACAATTGTATTATGGATCTGTTCATGTGTTATGTCTTAACAACCACCATTGAAATATATGGTTTCATTGAACCAATTAAGTTAGGAAACTACATGCAGTTTTTAATGAGGTTTAACAAACATCCAAAAAATAACAGTTTATTATTTTATAATAAAAAATAGTATTGTATTTACAAATATTAAAGTACTAAATTCAGAACTTTTTCAGACAAAGAAAAGTTGTTTTTGGTACATCAAATAAATAAGTACAGCAGGGTGATTGAGTCGAAAGAAACTAATGGGCCAAAAAGTTAAGAGAAACGGATAACTAGCCAAGCTATTACAAACATGAGACAACTACTGTACCATGAGGAAAAAGGCATTCAAAAATACTAATAGTATCTCAAATAACTGGGGATTACAAGTTCAATGTTCACATGCACATTTTAATTTAATTTTTAAAATTTCCTCTTCATATTGTTTTTTCATTCTTGCAGCCTCAGTTTCAATTTTTGCTGTTTCCAATATCTGTTGCTGTATCTTTAATTTTGTTCTGGCCTCCTCTAATCTTATTTGGTGCAACTCCTCTTCATGCTCTGCCATCTTACTCAACTTCTTTACCCTCTCCTCCAGCTCGATGTTGATTGCAGCCTGCCTGGCAGTTCCGAGCAGCTTGCGTTTTTTCCCACATACTCCATCATTCCCTAAAAATATTAATGAGACAAAAATTATGATTATTACTTTCACATATTTTCTTTCAATAAATGTAAGGAAGTATTATTTGGATATGTAGTCAATTTCTGAAAAGAAATGCTGTTCTTGATGACCTAATGATTTTAACAGACTTTAGGATTGTTAATTGTTTGATAGGAATAAGAGAGATCACAATGTTAATATTTCCGGAACTCTAAAAACTCTTGCTGCCTGACTTAAGAAAAATATTAGTACCAATTTCATCTTAGACTTAAAATTTTCATCACTGTAGTTGTGTAAATGTTTCTGAGCTTCAAAGATATCTCTATTTACTTATTCACCAACAAATTTCATAGATCTTTCATAACTAATAATATTTATACATTGATATTTGGTGCTACTGAAAAATTAAACAAATAATGTTTGCCTACTTCTTTCATTTTCTTTAGTTAGTGTTCTTTGATCATGGGTTGAACAAGCAGGTGTCATTGTCAACTGTGGGGGTGTAGACCTAATTGAAATTTCTGGTACAGCAGAACTTTCCCCATCTTGGCTCACTTCGATGAAGGTCATATTGAAAAATTCTGCAACAAATAATTAACAAATAGTCTCATAGTAGCTTTTGTAAGGAGGCTTTATGTAAAAAAAAATACCATATATATGGTATGGCTTTTAGTCTCATAGTATTATTGAAAATGTTTTAAGTGGTTGATAAAGTTCTCAGAATAGGCCATGCACCAACACACTGATTTACCAGCTTGCAATCATAGTTTTGGTAGGATGCAGTCATTCCCTAGGTACTGAACAACAAGACAAACATTTGCTAAAAACTTCAGAATGAGATCTTTGCTATGTACAGTACTCACTTTTCATTCCTGGATATTACCCTTCCTTTTGTTCGCAAATGTTACCTTCAGTTAGTGTTTCCTTGTTTAATATAGGTACAATTTACATAAAGAAATATTTTTTATGTCCCATGTCCATAGTTATTTGTAGAAAATATTAATAAGGCATTAGGCATATGGATATTATCACCAATGCATGTTCTCTGACTTTTGAAAAGTTACTCAGCATTATGGAGTAAAAATGGCTAGAGTATAAACAAAGTCCCCAAGAATGTATTAAAACTTACCTTCAATTTAAAATTTGTAGCATTATTTTATAATAGTATGAGAAGTTTTGTTTAAGTAGGCCTATATCAATAAGAAAGGGGCATTAAACACTGAAGCGCTATTAAATCATACCTTGTTCTTTGGTTGACTCCAACATGGAGGTGTCACTGTCATACACATTTGGGATGTCAATGGCAGTTGAATTTTGAAGGATGGCATCGATTTCTGGGTCATCTTCAAATTTTGTAGGAGGACCCCCACCTGTTCCCATTTTGGCCTGCCTTTCCTTTGCCAACTTCTTCTTCCTGCTGGTCTTTATATTGTCCCAACATTTCTGCAACTGCTGTATAGTCTTCTGTGAAACCCAATAATGTAATTAAAATCTCTATATCATAGAACTCTAAATTACAGTATTTTTTAAATGTAAAGCTAACTAAAGCACACAGCTTATTGGCCCAAAGCAATTAGTTTATTTCTACATAATCATCATATAAGATTTACACTAGAACATAATCTTCAAACATTAGACTATTTATCCACACTGTTTTATGATATTCACACTGTTAAGTCTGATATCCACACTGTTAAATGGTATTCAACATAATATGTATGTTGTTAGCTTGTTTACATGAATTAAATAAATTTCCAATTATTGAACTGAACTGGTGATTGAGATTTTGCACTTATTCTTATATTAACCCTGATGTTTAGATTTCAGCCAAATGACCTAAAACATCAAATGTAGCCTAATCATAATCATCTCACCTTCTGTCACAAATAATTGGATATTGAAGAATTATTTAACCGTGTTTTTGTCATAAAGGGAGTTATTATTTAGAAGTAAAACTTAATGTTATCCACACTTTATTCTTATAAAATCTAAGCCTAAAAAGGTAGCAACCATTGGTACAGAAAATGCAAAATATGTTAGCTAACTTAACCCATTATTTAAAAAAAAATTTGTTTCAATTTGTATAGTTTGTAGGGTGTTGTTATGGTAGGCCTTTTACAATCAATGTTGTTTTTGTGTTGTATGGTTGCCATCTATTTGTTAAGCATAATGTAAAATAAAAGACCATTTCAGTGAAAAGTATTTAAGTACTTAGCCTACGATAACGTTTTTGGGTGTAGGCCTAACTAGCCTATAGCTTACTTTTTTATTTGTTAAACTTAATTAACTGGTGAACCTCTCTTTACACTTTCTTAAATATTCCAATTTCCCACTTAATTGATAGATAGGCCTATGAGATTAATAAATGATTTAAATGGGTTTGAATCTGTTGGAACTGTTGCAGTCAGTCGAATTTCATTATTATTTGGTAAAAGTTTGACCGAGCAAAAAAACTTTTGGGCAGAGGTTTTACATTACGAGACCAACAGCTTCTCTAATTCTTAATGGCTTTTGTTACGAGCGCTTGAAGCTTGAAGCGAGCGGCCGCGGTCTAGTGGCCAAGTGATCCGCCTTCAGTGCTGGAGCCCCGGGTTCAAATCCCGTTCGGGCAGTTTACTTTTTGATGCGGATTTTTCCACTTTTTAATTTTTTTTACTTTTTAAATGCATAGTTCATTAGGTTTCAATGTTAAAACATCTTATATTCTTTTTTGTTTTATTAAAATAGTTTTCTTTGAGTTATAAGTTTAACTTAACCCAGATCTAGCTTGATCTGGTTTTTATGTTCCAAAATCAGATCTGGAACATAAGAGATAGGCCTAACTAAGCCATTTTTATTATGACTGCTGTTACACAATATGCTGTAAACCTACCACATTTTTAACTTAGTTGAGTAACATTTTACTATAGGTCTATTGCATAAGGCCAAACATTAGCGTAGGCCTGCTGCATTTTATATATTTAGTATCCTAGCCTAGGCTAATATTAAATTCTTTCTGTTTGGTTTGATGTAGCGTAAGTTTATTATGTTCACCAATTAAATGAGTATTTCTATAGGCCTACTTTTCAATACTGTAGCCTGCATTAATTGTAAGAACTATAATTACATTAGTACCGTTTGCATTGATAATTATATTGATTAAAAACTTAAATAATAGGCCTATACTTAATTAGAACCTACCTCAGTGTGGTCTGGCTCTGCGTTGAACTCCTGTTGGATAGCCTGCCAAATCTTCCGCTTCTCTTGAATTTTTGGCCCATTACTTTCTTTCGACTCAATCACCCTGCTGTACTTATTTATTTGATGAACCAAAAACAACTTTTCTTTATCCGAAAATCTCTTTCTATCATTAGAAATAGTGAAACCTTCCATTATCACTTCTTAACTTTTCAAGCGTTTGAACTCAATCCAACAATGAACCAACGGCTAAATTCATTAACGAAAACCGCGAAATGTAATACCAACTGTTGAGGATTCTCACTCCCTTTTATAACATTACATATTTCTTAGTTTCGCCGATTTATAACAATTAATCAAAAAAATAATAAAGGTGATTGTACTTATCAAGCAATAAACATTAAAATATAATGATTTTTTAGTAATTTTTAAATTTTGATCATTAGCTTTATGTATGATATTGTGTAATTTTACTCTGTAAAAGTACCACCACTGATTAGTCGTGTAAGGGATCCTTAAACCTATTCCTCGACAAAGGGTGAAAAGAAGGGGTGTTTGTGAATTTCGTTTCGCACCTTATTCCTTACTCCTTATTCCTTGTTCCTTTGTTAAGGTAAGGAACAAGGAATAGGTTAAGGAACGTTCATGAATTCCGCTCACGATGTTGTCGCCTTCCGAGGAGGTGTATAACTGGGTGGGAGGGGGGAAGTAGTGTGGAAGTGTTTTAAAGACGTTCTAAAACATTGCTCAAATTTCGTAAACCTAACACGATAGAAATATGTGTTGTAAATCTAAACGTCGTTGTATTACAAAAGTAATCTTCTTAAAAACAGTTATAATAGCTATTTCAATCCCACACAATGCAAAAAACACAGCATAATAAATTAATGCCGGTTTATGTATACGTTTAGACTGAGCAACAATGAAACAGCTGATTTGAATTATTAAAATAAACCGTAATAAAACACTAGCATGTATAGTGTGTTAATGGGGAACTAATCGAAAACGAGGGAAGGTAAATCAGCTGATCTTTTTCCCTCACTCTAAATTAGAGCTTAGGAAACAACTACTTTCTTTGATATCAGCTGTTATCGAAAATAGCTACTTTCGGAACGGAGTAGAACATGTTTAGTGGTCTAAGTCGGGCCAAAGGGGAGTTATTATACATCGATGGGCCAAAGTAGTTAGTATTTTGCATTTATTCAAATGTGTAATATTAGTGAATTATACATATCATTAACTTGTAAATGTAATATGATCTCATTATCACTGTAAAACAATATGGCAAAATTATATAATGTGGCTCTTCCATAATCTCATTTCCTATCCAGTGTTAGACTGCAAGTTTAAACGTTACATGATCCCAATAAATGGGTAAGTGTGCAAAATTAAATAACGCAAACAAATGGTTAACCTTGAGTTAAGATAAATTTTGCTGAAAGGTTACACAACGAGAGTAATATCTGTTTTCAACGAAAGTGTCATAAGAAAATAACTACTAAAAATGTATCTAGTACTTACTTGTATTTGGCTGACTTCTAATTTAATAATAAAACATCAGGCTAATCGCACTGACAACAGACTTAAGGTTAGTGATATCCCACGTCAACAAAGTTTTGCACAGAAATCGGCTTATGTACATACATTGTGTGTGACTGTCCCTGACTAAGTTTAAGTCAGTTTGGCAAATTTTCACTTGCTAACTAGTTCACTTTGTAGGTAGATTGAAGCTAATTAAAGGCACAGTTCAGGTTGAGTTAGTTTAGTTGAGTGCTTGGAACATCTGCTACACCACCTGTTATTCCTTAGGAAAGATAGATTTTGATAGTCAATATGGTTCTCTATGTATACATAGTTTAAATAGTTTGATCAACATAAATTTAAACACTGGGATACAAAGTTTTTTACATTCAAATCTTCAATGACATTTTGTTTTATTTCCCACCTAATTTGAGTTCTAGATTGTACTTCTAGTAGCTAAAACTTATTTTAAAGTTGATTTCTGTCTTAAAGGCTCAATTGCAAATCTTGACCGATTGATTTCAGTTATGCTATTATGATTCGACCGTGTCGACGCCCGCTTTGATCATAATGTTTTATATATATATAAAAAGATAAAAAAATAACTCGATCTGCATTGGAGAACCTCCTTTACTAAAAAAATCCATAAGATAATATCATTGCCATAATAGGCAATGTACATCTATCACTTAATATTTCGATGTAATGATATATTAAAATGGTTTTTGCATATGATGAGTTAAGCGTATTAATTTTTATTTATTATAGTAAACACTTACCGCAAACATATTGCGTATTAATAATAAAATCAGGTAATGACTTTTTCATGCTCAGTGGTTAAACAAATAAAACAAAACCAATGACCTAAGCTGGAAAGCTTGCGTACAGCCTGATTTATTACGAAAAGCCGTTTGAGGATTATGTTCTTACCAAAAGCAAACTTTGCCTTACGTAAATGCCATCGACTGTAATTTGAAATGGTGGAATAGAAAGTAAAAATCTTACATACTTAATTTTTCAACGCGTAACACAATCTTTACGAATAAAAATACCTTTGTAATTTTACTGAATTATTATGACATATATTTTACGTTGATATCGTGGGATGTGCTTTTTGCTTTTAGTTATCGTTTTCTTGAGGTAAAAGTGTCCTTTGTGGTATTAGAATCAGCTTGATATTCTCCATTTATTGGATTCTATTCATTTTAAATTCTATTCACTCTCACAAGTACAATACGTCCATCATCTTAGAATCAGGGAACACTACAACAGAAGTATATTTTTTATACACTTATTCCTTATCAACTTAGTTACAACTTAAATCAATTTAGATTAGCATATAATTCAAGTTTTGTTTACATTTAATTTTAAAATGTATTAATATTTAGCTAGATATTAAATAATAATTCTTTATTGGGTTTTACGCTGAAATTAGTGGCTAAATAATTCACTGTTCGCATTAAGTATAAATGTATCATCTTATGCTTATACTTACTCATAATTAAACTGTTAAGCACAATATAAGAGAACATTTATGGATTTACAAGGAGTTGACGATGAATAACAGTAAAAATAAAAAGTTTTAAAATTACTGGCTTATATATGTTCATTCGCCCTTTTGATTGTAAAAGACTTCATTAGGCTGGAGGGTTGATAGAGTTAATTTCCCTACCCTTCCCACTTACGTCTAAAGGTATCTTTCACTGACAACCTGACCACTTATAACAAACCTTCTTTGTTGATAACTTTGCACTTTTGGATGGTATAATTTCATCAATGATTGACTATCAATGTAGGTATCATACTTCATACTAATATTATAAATGTTAGAGTAGTTTGTCCGTTTGAAGTTCGATCACGCATTAACAACTGGTCAGATTGAGCATGATGGTAGCTCAAATTCCTGATTAACATATAGACATATTTTTACCTCAAAAATCCTTTCGGGCTCCACCCCAGTGGCTCTGGAGTTTTCTGTGTTAACCTTATGAGTTGTATATAAAAGGAATTAAAGAATCTTTTAAGCTGTACGTAATAAAAAAATGCTATGAAATTCAATAGTATAAAAATTTTATACGGTTTACCAACAGGGTGCATCACTAAACAATTTTTGAAATCGTGACAAAAGCCAAATTGAGCTAAGCAGCAACAAAATGCTGTGATACACACCGATAACTGTCAAAGTAGGATTGTTTACAGTTATGTTTATGCTTTTAACTTAATAAATAATTTGTGATATTGTGCAAATAATTGATAATTTACTCTTTTCTATTGTTTAGGTGCAGTGGTAGGACATTATGACTTTGGTAGATGTGTTATACTACAGTAAGCCAGTAATTAAAAAACCAAATTTTCATAAGTTCATATAAGTATATTTACACAAAGCATGGTTAATTTTCCTTCATGGTACGTATGCATTAACGTTATGTTTTTTATCGTAAAAATTTAAATTGCAGTATGACATCTGTTATTGACTTGCTAAATAAAGCGCATACATTTATTAGCGTAAATATATAAAAAAAATTGGATTATAACTTTGAAACATAATATAAAATGCATATTAAACAAATTTACATACAATAATCATTTTAAAATCCACCACCTTGTGACTAATTCAACAATCTACAGCGGGTGGGGGGGGGGGGGCACATTAACATAGGAAACACGTTGTCAGACATCATAATATTATTGAATTTACATTAAGCACAATTGTCTGAATTGATGTCAATAACATCTAGGTGATTGTAGCAATAGTGGTTAGCAAATAATGTTTTTACTGATAATTTATTTATGAACAAAAAATAAGTCGAAGTCACACTGTAAAAGCTGACTTATTATCTATACATCCTTTTAGCCAAAATCCTAAGTATTATTTAAAAAAAATTCATATGAATTTTATCTTTGCAATACATTTTTGAGCTTTGGGATTTGAAGTAGCTGGCTTGGCTTACAGCAAATGTAAAGTACACCGTTTGCAGTTACGTTATACATGTAAACTAGTTAAAAAAAAATTAAATGATTGATGATATATTAATGATATAGATGACATACTGATATATTTCTTTTTGATAATACTGAACATAAATTAATCCATGGAATATAGGAGATTCGCTATTTCTCTCACCTTCACGAAAGGTACAAAAGAAACCGTAAAAACTTCTAAGGGTAGAGTAATTTTGGAATCGTAATTTAACAACGTCAAAACCTAGTTTCTGTTGAAAGTAGGCAGTAGGTTTTTTTTATATAAAAAAGTATATTTATGAATATTTCTAAAAGGATCTTCAGTAGTATATTCAAGCCCCGTCCACAGTAAAGCAACAACAATTTTATTTGTTTGCTGTCCTTATGTGTACTAATAATTTAAACACTTTATGCCGATTTATGCAGATGATTGGAATTGTTGAATAAATTTAAATAACAAAAAATAGCATTAATTTGAATAGGAATATTCAAAATAATAATATGAAAGTAAATCAAAAGTATTTTAAAAAGTGTTATAAAATTAGTCTTGCCTAAAGTAAGAAAATTGGAGGAGATTTTCACTGCTGATAAACGGGGATTTTCTTGTAGTCTTGAACAAGCAAAGTCAAGCGAGTAAAGGCTCTGGGATTAAAGGATTATAGTCCCTCATGCAAGTAGCTTTAAGGAATTTATATTTTGACAACAGACATTCAATTTTAAAACTGAGAATTTAAGCATTACCAAGTTTTAGATGTTGTTATAAAAGTAAGCGCGTGATTAATATTCATGATTCAAATATCTAATAAACAAATCACCGAAGTGG